TAATTTATGTACTATGTATTCCTCTTCAGGGTAACAAAATCTACATACTATATTAATTTTATAACTGAGTTTGTTTACCAATACTGAACATTTGCCAAACAGCAATTTCAGACCATAATAAATTACACCCTCAATTTTAATAGAGCACTGAAAACTATGTTTGCCACCAGCTTTCAAGCAAAACCTTGGCAGTCCAAACCAATTTTTAAACATCAGATTTATGGGGCAGAGATCCTAACTAAAAACACCAATTCTATCCCTCAGTCACTGCTACCACACTGCCACCTCCTGTCTTATGACTCTGGAAGCTTGAATCAGAGGCAACAGTCGATAAAGGAAACTTGGCTAAGAATAGCACAGCCTCTCTCCTTCCTCCCAGACCAAACCAACCACCAGAGTTACTACATGGATAATTCATACCTTTCAAAAATTAGTTACCGCTAGAAAAGTTGCTGTCTGAATGCTGCTAAAGACAATTACAGTGGAGTTACTTCAAGTGTATATCAAGGCGGCTCAACAGCTTTACTTTAATACAAAATCCCAGACCTGTAACAACACATTAACTGCAGTGGTGTGGCTCATAAAAGGATTTCAAACTATGGCAAAGATCATTTCCCTCTTGCTGGCTGCCTGAAAGAGGTGCATATGCAAAAGCAACTGAGCTACCATACTCAGAAAAAAAATACAAATTGCTTACAGCAAAAACCCCAGATCTCTGTAATTCCAAGATACTTTTAAGCCGTAGCTGATAACTCATTTCTTTCAAGCAGAATGGCAAAAAATCAGAACAAAATGTGCCCCTTGTTAGTTTATTATAATGGCATTTGGCATGTACAGAGAATGTAAGTGATCACACAAAATCAAAAGGAAAGCCAGAAACAGAAGCCAAGATTCTCAATTCCCGCTGGCTCCAGGCACATGTCATGTTTCCATAAAGTCTTCCTTGATACTGTGGACAGCCACACAGAAGCTACTTAACAACATTTGTTTATTTTATTTTTTAATTCTAACAAGGCCAAAGTAAGAAACCTTTTAAACTCTCTCAAACTGTACTGAGAAAACAATATGAAATCAAGAAAAATCTCATTGGCTACAACCACTTAAGCAGTCATGCATTACTGATCTTAAACTGAGCTCTCCAAAGATAACCCTGCTCTTTACCACAGAGGGTAAAAGAACCCTGTTCTTCAACCTTTAACAGGGTTCAAGAACCCTGTTCTTTACCAGCCATGAGTTTCCTAACATTTACAACCTCAAGTCTCTGCATGTGTGAAACATCTTCCTAATTCACAAGATTCACTGGAACCACACTGATAAACATTCAGACCTACGTTTAAATGTTCAGCATTAAAAAAAGCTTTTGTTGTCCTGAGACAAGAAAGTCATATACCCTGGCTAATGGGCACATTGCTGGTCACTGCACCATCCTATTCTATACTTAACAGCTATTAAAATGCAGCACTAGCATTTAAATAGCCATTTAAGGTAAGATACATTTAAAACCCTGTAACTTTGATGCATGCTTTGTTTATCCAATTTACATGTTAAACGCAAGATTCTAATATGGAAATAAGTTGTTCACTTAATTTTTTTTTTATGGAAACAAAAAGACTTTTGAGCTTAGGCACCACAGTCTGTTTTAACAGATCCTTCCTGGAAAAATATTAACAACTATAATATCCTATTTTTTTTCCTTTATTCAAATATATTTTTAGATACATATTATCCTAATCAATGCTAACAGTTAAATCATGAGGAAGTTTAAACCATAAAAAAGTGAAAATATGAAAAATTTCCATAACTTAAAGAAAGTAATGGCAAATGAACTACAACCACCATCCTCTCAATTCCCCAGTGTCAGCGACTTTCTCGTTCCCTCTCCCACGCCCAATAGCCCACAACATAACAAAAAAAGGAAATCAGTGCTATTTACATAATCACATAGGGGCACATACAAGATCCAACCAAGCTCAGCTACAGTCTTCTAAAGTCACAATTTTCACACCCACCCTTACCCCCAACGGGGCAGGGTGAGGCGGGGAAAGCGTGAATTTTTTTAAGCTTATACCTCGGAGTGAAGCCAAGTCTTCATGTGCTGTATCTTGTATATTTGGAACAGAAAGTGCAACACTATCCCAGATATTCAATACAATCCTCTCTTCATTCTGGACACAGGAGACCTCAAGCTCTGCGGAGCACTGCTATAATCTTCCCCATCTGAGGGGTATCTGAATGCAGAAAAGCAACATTCCTTCCACATTCCCTTGCGACTTCGGTAATCAGGAGCTAAGCTTGGTCTGAACCAAACTCAACAATGCCCCTTCCTGAACGAGTCACCCGCCCAGCTCTGCTCCCAGAGTTGGGCCAGCCTGCCAAGCATCAAATCTCCTCCTGGGCCTGTTCTACTGTTTAGTCGCTACAAGCCCATTCATCCATCTCAGAGTGCTGCCATAAGCATTCTTGTGCCATAAGCACCAGGCTCCCAACATGCCTTGCACAGCAGGTATAAAGGTCATTGCTGCATATGTGGGTGTGCCTGTCTCAGATGCCCACATGATGATGGGATGGAATGCAATGACTGCTAAGCACAAAGAACTCCACCCAAGTCCAGCAGCCTCACTTGGCAAGGACTGGTCTGCAGCATTCAACTCACTGTCACCAGTACCACCTCTTGACCTTCCTATAGGTGCTGGGCACCTGGGATCACCAGGGTGCCTTCTCTGCCCTCTCCCCAAACCTACTCAGACAGTGGAACTACCCAGATAAGGCAAACTGTATCATACATAGCTCCAAAGTTCAGTTAAAATAAAATTGTAATATAGATTTCCAGCAAATTTTCCTGGGCAGAGAAAGAAAGCTCTACTTTTGCTTTTAGCCATTTCAATACAAGCAAAGGACTTACTTGATTGCTCTCTAAATCAGTAAAAAGTTGTCTCCAATGTACTCATTCCTGTTTACTTTGCTAGTAAAATAGTATCATTTAAAATGCTGAGCATTTTAACGCTAGTGAAAATCAGCTAGAAAATTTAATCTACACTGTTAATAAACTGAAAAGGCTTCCATTGATAAATACTTGCTGACACCGGTAACATTTTACCTTATGTGCTTTCCTAAAGAGGAACTCTCCTTCCTTATAAGTAACAAGTAACTAAGCATGTTTTTAGGTTGGGCAAAAGCCTTTAAAAATAAAACAGGCAGTGATTACCAGATAATGTTTTTAATTTAATTACCTACACATGGGGAGAAATTCACACCAGCTTGCAAAGGAAAAATCAGGAGAGTAAGGCAAAGTAATCTGCATGTACATGCAGGTCAATGAATTGTATCTGAAAAGCGCAAGACATTCAATGTTTACATTTAGGAATTTTCAAGTGTTAAAATGCCAGTCCTTCAACACAACCATTTGCTTATTTTTTTATTCAACATCTGAAGAAAATTAAGACACACTGGCTAAACATGAAACCAATTAGGATTTGCAGAATGTGCTTACATTTTCACCCCTAGGTAAACAATTTAGACCATGCCCTGAAACTTTTTTAAGGAGATATGACTTCTCAATTTTTCAATTCTTATTAAACTGAGATCAATTTAGATACTTTTCAGTACACATTCTATTATTTTAGAAGCTTTTAAAAAAGAATTCCATTCTACTATATGAAATAACTTGACCCCTACCAAAATTCCCAGCTAGAACTAAATCTACCTGGTTACACAAGTCCCTTTCCAACTATCCTAATGAAAAGTACACGAACAAGAGAAATCTACAAAAATCCAAACCAGCTTGCTAACAAAAACATGATTCGCGAAAATGTTTTATCTGAAGAGAGCTCAATCTAGAAACAGGCATATGATGACATTTTGTGTAGCCATCTCTCTCTGCACAGCACCAGGGAAATGCACAGCAAACCCCTCCTGCCCTCCAGCACACACACTCTCACCAATAGCTAACCAAACCCACGCAGCCTTAGTTTAAATTAACTTCCAGCTTATTGCTTGGCCCAGCTTGGGAGTGGGGGAGGGGAGGGGTAAAGACAGAAACCCTAGCCCCACCTTGCAAAACCTAGAAAGGTATAGGCCAACCCCAGCCCCACTGAGAGGGAGCAGTGCCTTTCCAGTTAGAGTAACAAAGCCGGGATCCGGCCTGTTCTTGAGTAAGGAGACATTTCTCCAAAATACTCCCGAGGTTAAAACACAGTCTCCAAACATTCTATAAAGTGACACACTACACATGCTCTCCGAAAAGTACAATTCCCCGGCTTAAGTGGCACAAATCAGCGTTCACGATCTCTTGGTGGTTATTTGTAACCAAAAATATTTTCAGGGGCAGTGGGGTGGGGTTGGGGGGAGCGGGAGACCAAGGCGCATTACCAGAAACCTGTACAAACTCTGGAGTGACTGAAAGGCGCTTCTGGGCAGGAGAAGCCCAGGCGTTCACTCACGTGTTCCAATCCCGGCTATCGAGCTAACAGGGTAAAGGCAAATTCCTCTCCTCTCAGATGTGCGGATGGCCTCCCAGGCCTCTCAGACTCGTCGCCGCCAACTCGGGACAGAGAAGGAAAGACACGCCACCCCCGCGCGTGTCTGCAGCTGCTTTCGCCTATCCCGTACTTATAGGAGTGGAAGGGGGTTACGCATTGCTTCCAAATTCCTACAGATTCCCAAAAACTGCCCTCTGAGACTTTGATTTCCTGTTGTAGCAACTTAACCTACTCTGCCGGATAACATTTAGCTATGAGAGCTTCCTTGAGCGACTTGCATACCAATAACAACAATCCAGTGGCAGGGGCCACAGACAAGCCTTCCATTTCTTTGCAGTATTACCAACACACACACACAGACACCTGCCATAAACTTAAGTGCAAGAGAAAAAGACGAGAAACGCCAAGCCATACAGAAACCCAATAAGCATAAGAGGAAAAGACGTCATTTTCAGCTGTGTTGGGTCTTTTCTCCCAATAGACTGAGAACAGAATCAATGAGAACATAATAAATAAGCTCACCTCTGCCTTTTTGGGACCGAGTGCTCAACTTCTATGAGTTTCCCGTGCAGTTCCACTTTACCTGCGAATACACAAGAGGTGGAAGACTGTTGGCCGAGTTTAGCGGCTCTCCCGGCCCAAAAGACCCGCACAGCCTAAGCAGCGACACAAGTGGCCTCCAGAGACCCCGAACAGCATCCGGACGCGGCTCGAGGCCGAGACAGAAGCCCGGCACCTCACGGGTGGGAAGCAGACACCCTCAGGGCTGTGTGTGTGCAACTTACAGATCGGTGGGGAGGGGGATCAATGGGCGGACCCACTCCTTGGCAACATTCTACCGCCCCCCCGGCCTCCCCCGCCCACCTCTGGGGGTCGCCCAACCCCACGACAACACCCGCAGGACGTACGCTGCCCCTCTGCCCACCTCCCCGGGCCTTCCCATAAGACAGACCCTAGGGAAGGGGCTACGGTGCCTTTCTTCAGGTGGGGACGCCCGGGCCCTTCTCCCAGGTTCAAGCCGGCCGGGACCAGAGTGGCGGGAAAGGCTCGAGGACCGCAGGGTAGGCGCAGGAAGAGCGAGCGCCCCGAGACATCTGAGCACAAACTACGCCCGAAAGGCACGGGGCTCCTGGAGGGCCCCCGAGCGCAGCTTTCCCCGCCCCAGCCCACCGCTCCGCCACGCACCGGCCCCCGCCCTCGCCGAGCGCGCCCCGCCACCCCCGGAGGCCGCAGCCTGTGGCCCGGGCGCGGAGAGCGGCGGGCCGCCCGGCACCGCAGCTGGGCTCCCTCCCCGGCGACCGCCGGCCGCCCCCGCCCTCCTGCCCCTCTCGCTCGTCCGACGCGGGGAGGTAGAAGGAGGAACCCAGGTCGCACTCGCCGCCTCCAGCCGGGTGGAGAGGAAGCGCGGGGCCGCCTGCGCGAGGCACCGGCCCGCGGCCTCCCTCCGCAGCGGGGTCGAGGCCACTCCGCGTTCTCCCACTGCCGGGGGCTGAGGCGGGCGGCGGGCAGCAAACCCCACGGCATCAGTAACGAGCAGAGAGAGGAAGGGAGGAGGAGGGAGAAGCCGGCGTTCGCGCCCGGCCCCCAAGGCCCGGCGTGCCGGAGCCTGGAGCATTCGCCCGGGCCCAGGCGGGGCGCGGGGCGAGCGCGGAGGAGCCGGCGCCGGCGCTTTCTGACAGCGCGTCGGCCCTTAGCCCGCAAACGCGCTGGGAGGGGAGCCGCGGGGGGCCGGGTCGAGCCCACGCTGAGGAAAGCGCCCGGACCCACGCCGGTGCGCGCCCGGGCCTCGCCCCCTCTCCGGGCCTCGGGCCCTGTGTGGACGCCCCGGCGGCAGCCGCGGGCCTGGCTCCCGGCCCCCGACCCCGGCAGGCCCGGGCGGCGCAGGGCTGGGGCAGGCGCCCCGCGGGGCCAGGCCGGGGCCCACCTGAAAGCGCCTCGATGGCCTTGAGGGCCCAGCTCTCGTCCGGACAGTCCACGAACGCGTAGCCCGTCTTCACCAGGAAGGGTCCCGACACCGGGATCTTGGCGTCCTTGAAGATACTTTCTAGGTCCGAGGGGACGGCGTTCTCGCTGAGGTTTCCAATATACAGTTTGTTCATTGTGAAGAGCGGTTGTTTAAAAAAATTGAGAGAAACGAAAAATTAAAACCACCCACAGTGATGGATGGATCCGGCGGGTTTTGTTCCCCTCGTCTTCTCGCCGCTAAAATACCCAAACACAGTCAGAACCAGGACAAGAACGAGGAGCGAAAAATCAGATCCAAGGGTTCTTGTTTTTCCTTCTCTAGATATAAAAAAAAAAAGAAAAGAAAAAGCCTTGCTACAACCCAAACGCATCAACGAGTCTTCCTAACTCTGAGGAGGAGGCGGGATTATCGAGAAAAAGGAGGAGAGGAGAGGGGGGTCAACTACTTTTTGTCTCTTCCTCCCCAACCCCGTTGGCATCGGCCAGCGGACGGTGAAAATATCACACTACGTGAGGGCAGGCACCGCCTCCCCATAAAAAACCCCGAAGGGTGACTGGCAGGAGCGAGGGGAGGAGGGGTGGAGGGAGGAAGGCGCAGGAGGCGGAAAAAATCCGCTCCGAGTGTCCGGCTTTTTGAATAAGCCACGTGTTCAAACTACAAATCAACGTCTCACGTGAGGAATCCCAGCTCCTCAATTAGAGGGGGTTTCGAGGGAAAAAAGAGCCAGCGAGAGGAGGAAGAGGGGGAGGGGAAATGAGATTGGGCGAGGGACCCTGAGAAGGGAAGGAGGAAGAGGGCAAAAAAATACTAAAGGAGCCGCAGCCGGGGCGCAGAGGGGAGCGCGGCTCTGGGAGCTGATTGTCACAACAGAGTTTAGAAAGGGTTATCTGGTCGGGGCGGATCCTGAGGGGGAGGGGAGGAAAAGGGGAGGAATATTGATTTTTTTTTTTTTTTAACGAGATAGGGGTAGGGGTGCTAACTAGGCAATTTCTCAGCTCTAGTTACCGGACTTTTAAATACGTATTCGATTTTTTAAAATAGGTAATTAACAAAACCAAGGAGTCACAATTCCGAACTCCCCTTGTGGCTTTGATGACATTAGAAGTGTAACCTCGGCAAAGCCGCGAGCACGTTTCCAGGGCTTGCAGGGGCGGAAACGCAGCGAGGGGGTGGGGTGCGGTGGGTGGGGGCGGGAGAAGCGGCAGAGGCGCCCCACCCTGTGCACCCTTCACGGGCCCGGGCCCCGGGGAAGTGGGGCGGCCCCGAGCCGGGCGGTGGGGGATGGGAGCCCGCGGCGTCCTGGGCGGGTGTCTGGGCGACACCTCCTCCGCCTCCGCCTGCGCTCGCGGTGGCTCTCGGCTTCGCGTTTGCCATTGGTTGCTCGATTCAGACAAGGCTCTGGGATAAATGAGGCCGGGGGCGGGCTTGGCCACCGGTGGGGGAGGGGAGCGCAGGGGCGGAGGTTTCTGGCGTGGGGATGGGGGCGTCCCGGGCCTCGGAGGCCGGAGAAGAGAAGTCAGAGTGGGAAAAGTCGGTATTTAAACGGAAACCATTTCTTCCTGTAGTTTCCAGAGGAGGAGGAGTGGGGTAGGCTGGTACTTTTATTTAAAGAATTTTAGTTGGAGAACTTGGGACTCTTAAAACAGGAAGACTGCTCTGCGATACCCCTAGGTGGTATTTCGCACTTGAAATATTGTTCGAGTCTCTTTCTGCCTCTTTTTTGCCCACATTTGGCCATGAGAACCATTCATAATTTCCCCTGTACTGTATATAACGAGGACAATGGTGGGTGTTGGGGGGAGGGTCTGGGCCCAGTGGAGCCTTCTGGGCCAACAGACTGCGGACTGGAGACGAGGAATACGGAAATGAACGCCGTGCTGGGGTTCTTGTGGAAATCTCCAAGTGTCGTTTAATGATTGTGTACTCCACTCAGAGGCTTCATTTGCACCAGATACTTATGGTGCATATTTAACAGGTATTCCATGGAAAAGATATAAAATGCTTATTTTAAAAAAGTGAATGAAATTCTATATAGCATGGAAATATAAACAAGAATCTTTAATGTCTTGGTACGCTCTCTAGTAGAAAAATGTGTAATAGAAAAATATGGAGATTTACACTGAAACATCTTCAGTAATTATGACAATTGATATAGTTCTTTTCCCTTTGTCAAGCCCTCACACGGCATTTTAAAGTGTATATTTTCCAATTAAAAGATGAATAGTAGATTAGTGTTTTAAATATGTGGGAATTATTGCATGATGTAAAGAGTATACACATTTTTTCTTTTAAAAGGAACTTATTTTAGAATTTTGTGTTAAGGAACCGGAAGGTGTCAGATCATCCATTTTAAATGCAACTGTTCTTTCTTACAGGTTTTTCTTTCCTGCCAAGCAAATCTAACTTTTTAAACGTAAACTCACTTTCACAATATTTTCATTCACATTTAATTTAGTGAAATGTTTTTAATTTTTGAGACGGAGGGGACAAACGTGTTCTTGTGTAATAATGTTTAGAATTGTATTATGAGCTCTATCTTGAAAGAACATTTTGGTGGTGAAATTTAAAGTTTATGGTTAGGTTTAACTTCTTAAAAGAGCTTACTTATTTTTCCTTTTTCATGTTTTTTTAAAAGAGAACTTTGGTTCTAAAAAAGAAAAAATATGTATTCTTCCTTTATGACTTCTGTGGTATTCAAAATGTAAATATCAAAAATTATGAATTTATTTTCCATGTACCTGTTGCATGTGATCAAAAGGTATTTGGAGAAATATGCTTTTCATTCATTTAGTGATATTTGCTTTTCTAAATGCCTCTTTAAATTTTATAAACTAGTCTGATCATTTAACTTTTAGTAATTTTTCAAAAGAACAAATTTTATACGTTCAGCTTGCTTCCAAAGTCAGTTGAATGGTGCTTTCTGGATTGTTGACTATTTGCTCTTATTAAAACTGAGATCTAAAGAAATATCTACTTCTAAAGCATGGGATAAATTGGTTTTTTTTTTTTTCCATAAATACTAGCCCTTGCTTGTCTGTCACTATCAAACAAATCTAACAGCTGGAATTTAAAACAAGTGTGTGCTATTTTGCTGAAATATGTTCCTGGGACTCTTGTGAACTTAATCTGTGTATTATTGTAACACATTGGATACTCCATCTAGGACCTTAAAAACATACACGAGTTATATAAGCTCAGATATCAAAAAAGGAGGTGGATACAGTCTACTCCACTTCGAATCTTCCAAGTATTTGAGGAATAAGTATATACTCAATGGCTGAGTGAAAAAAAGCATGGGTAAATTGTTTTTTACTGGCATTTCAAGTACAAAAATATCTTTGGTGGATTTTCAACAGTGAATGTAAGGTCAATCCAACTTCCAGTCTTTTAATGAGTCTCACATAAGAAATTAACCATGTACATGGGCTACTCCAGGTTCGTCCTGGAGCAGTTGCAGCTCCTAATTAATGTTAACGCCACGAAGGAATCCCACCCATTGTATGTGCTCTGATGCGGCTGAGCCCTTCCAACTGCAGCCTCTTTACTCTTTGAAAAGCTGCACCTCCTCCCTATCTGCTGACCTGAGGGCAATAACAATGTTTCTTATGGGTCAGTGTAACATTAAAGAGGAAAAACTGTTTAGAAGGTCGGTTACCGTTGCTGTATCCACAGGTTATGAGCGAAGGCTGAGCAGGTAGAGCAGGGGGAAAGGGCATTCTTGTTGCTACCCCTCCGAACTCCCAGCTGCCTCTGAGACCAGCCGAGAGCCTAAGTCCTTAACGCGGGTGGGCACACAATGCCCGCCGCGTCGCCTGGGCCTCATAGGAGGTGTTTTTAACATCCTCTCGTTCCTTCGAACAGCTCTTCTGGACTCTGATCTGTTTAAAGCAGATGCGTGATAAGTGGTAACCTGGCTCTGCACTCTCTTCGGAACATGCCTTCAGTTATTTTTGTTTAAAATCAAAAATAGTGCTCCAGGAGATGAGAAGATGGGGTTGTTTCCTTTTTCCCCTGGCTCTGCCGGGAGAAAAGAGGGCGGGATCCTTGCAGTTCACACTGGGGAAGATCCTTCGTCGGCCGCTTCCTAGCCTCGGAGGCCCTCGACCACTGGACTGCCCTGGCCCTGCCGCGGGACAGGCGCCTTCTGGCTCCGCCTCGGGTTCTGTCCCTCCGCGCGGAGCTGCGTGGACGAATTAGCCGTGGGGGCCGCGGGGAGCCTCTATCGTTCCCCTCACAGCACAACTCCACCTGAGGTCGTCCTTCCCCTGCGCGCGCCCGCCCGCGGGCCGCGGGGGCGGATCAAACAGCGAGTGTTTGGCTACCCTCCCGAACTTCCGGCCTGTTTCGAGCGTGCAAGAGGCTCCCTGGTGCTGGGGGATGCTCGGTACCCACGGAGAAAGACCCCCGGGAGCCTTGCTGAACCCTGCGCCTTTGCCGGAGGCGGGGCTGGGCAGCGAGGCGGGTGCACAGGGCGCGCAAACGCGGCCCCGGGGCGGGGTTTCGCGCTCCACGGGGCCGACTCGCCGAGACCAAGTTGAGCAACCGGCGTGGAGAGAGACACCGCCCCTAGCTGGGGAGGGGGCGGGGGGGGCTTTTTCTCTCACCCGATTGGTGGACAGAGGAAGCCTATCATCGTCGGCTGCCTCCGCCGGAGCCGTTTGCTGGTTTCCATTCATTGGCCCCCCGAGCCGCCCCTGGATTTCCATCTTTTGTGGCGCGAAAATAACCCTTTGCTCCCTCTCATTGGTTTTGTTTTCTTGAGGGATGAGATTGGCTTCTCCTGTTCGTGCTCTCATTTTTCCTGCCCATTAGCTGTGAGCCCCCAGCCCCAACCCTTAAGGAGGAAAGAGGGAGGTAACTAAGGAAGAGTAGGGAGTAGTTGCGTGCGCGAGTGGAGCCCGCCCCTTGGGCTGACCGCGTGGTGCCGGCAGAGACCCCTCCCTTCCCCCAACGTCCAGCGCCGGGAGGTCGTGGGTTTGCGCCATGCTCAGCAGCTGGAGTCACATCATTTCCCTGCCCCTTTCCAGCATCTTAGAATTTATACGTCTTTTTTAGTTAGAAAGACAAAATACGTTTCCAGATGGCTGAATTTTCCTGGGCTTCTAGAGAAATCGACTCATTCTGCCCCCTCCCTTCCTAACCCCCTTTGTGGTCCACAGGGTTGTTCTAAGCAAAACTAAACAACCTCTCCAAAAAAAGCAAACGAAAAATTCCGGGTAGAATCAACTATGCGGAGACCACGTTTCGTTGAAGCTGCCCTAAGACCAAAGAAGCTGAGACCGACCTTGAAGGATTAGCGATTTCTGTAGCTGAAAGGTGCTAATTTTACTGACGTTTGGTGGAGACGGTGAGAAAACATAAATATGAATTTGGCTTGAAAAAGCACAAAACAAACGAATAATCATTTAACTTTAACTGAAAAAGCTAACAGCTACAGTGCTGTATTCTAGGTAGTGGTGTTTTGGGTGCGTTTGTAATTATATACATAAGTTGCTGTTGGTCTTCTAAAAAATAAAGATCAGAACTCTGGTCATGACA